CATCACCATCACCACCACCACCACCACCATCACCATCACCATCACCACCATCACCACCACCATCTCCATCATCATCACCATCACCCCCACCACCACCAGCAGTATCATAACCACCACTGCTGCTATGTGCCAATCTCTGGGTTACATTATGCAGGGGACGAATGACTCAAGCATGGACCTGCCTTCAAACAGCCTACAGACTAAAATGCAAGTTAAGTCACAGACAATAGTAACTGTAATTGAAAGCTTATTATTAAAGAGTTTATTGCAACCCCTGCCTCCCAAACAGTGAGTCGTGGGAGTGCATCCCTTGCTCCCAGCTCCACCAGGGCCGGAGTACCTGCGCTGATGTCAGACCTCCTGCCTGTCCTGGAAATCCACCTGCCCCAGTCCCAGGCTGTACAATTATGCATCCAGGCTGCCAGAAAGGCCTTCAGGCCCCAGGGGTCCCACATGCCGGCAAACACTGAGTGGATGCGACTTCTGTCTATACACTGGTCACCCTGCTTGTCAGATAGCCTCCTGTGCTAAGGATCCAAAACAAATTAGGAAACCCAAATTGGGCCATCTTTTGACCACATAACAAACATTTTCTCCAGTTTGTCTCACAGCCCGAAGGCAGCGTTGACAAGCACATTGATCAAGACGTGCTTGCTGCTGGCGTGACATAGCACCCAGCAGTGGGGCTGTCCAGGCTTCCTAATGAGGTGGCCCTGTGAAGCCACTGGATGCGGCAAGATTTGGGAGCTGTTGGGCGTGCTCAGAAACGGCCACCTCCAGCTCATTAATGGAGTTGGGGTGGCTGCACTGTGCCTTCCTGCACTTGGGCCAGAGGGAGTGATCCTGGCAAGTTCTCTCTCTGTCTCTCTGTGACTTGTTCTCCAGCTCCACCCACGTCTGTCTCTGGTCCCCCGTCCCCCACCCCCAGTCCCAACTCAGCCCAGTGAAAATGTTGTCAGTGCTTCACCGTGTTCAGGCTCTCAGAGGCCCGCCCGTGAGCAGAGGAAGGAGATTGGAG